GGCACAACCTGACCAATTTAAGCCAGAGAGGTTCCAAAACCTGCAAGAGGAAAGAGATGGTTTTGTTTGGTTGCCGTTTGGGGCGGGGAGGAGGGGCTGCCCCGGGGAAGGCTTAGCGACTCGGATAGTCGGGCTGGCTCTAGGATCATTGATTCAGTGTTTTGATTGGGAGAGAATTGGCGAGGAAATGGTGGACATGAGTGAAGGTACTGGTCTCAGCATGCCTAGAGCTCACCCATTACTCGCAAAGTGTAGGCCACGCCCAAAAATGCTTTCCCTGCTATCTCAACTCTAAATGGGCCAATGCATGTTTTCGTACCCCGTTCTCTAATAACAACCGATATTCCAAAATATAGAAGCCATGTCCATCATGTGAAAGCTTTCTTAACCTAAATCCCTTTCTATTGGGATTTAGGTTTTGTTTTGAGTTGTGTCATCTTTTATTTACAATATCAGTCTTTTGTCTATGCTAAAAAAAAGAGATGATATTCCAACCAAAGTCTTCGTTACCATAAAAAACAAAAGCAAAGATAATTCCATATAGAAATTAAACTTTTATTATACATATAAGAAAAAACTCAAATCACATCAAACTGTTTATAAATTCCTCCATTAGTTAGCTCATGGGTTAAAATTTGAAACAATTCAGCAGAAGATTTGATCTCAGTGAACAATATCTGTAAAAAATCTCGAATCTCACAATATTGGGTAAGTTATGAAACCTGCAGCCCAAAATCTCATAATATTATATTTTTTTGAATTATGAAACCTGCAACCCAAACAGCTCTCAGTGTAGTTAGCTGTGGCATTATTGTCCTTGAGATTCTAACTTTGGACGAGGATGGTTGGGGACATGCAGAAGTGCGTCAAAAGTTCTATATAAAAAAATTGCAGCTACGACACGTTGTATTTGCTAAGTGTTAGTGGCAGAAAAATAGATACGACGAGATGATGCTGGAAGGAGGAAGAGGTCCGAAGGCTTTTTATTTAAAATGAGGCTCAAGCTATCCTGGTGCAGAGTTTATATGGGTGTCGAGATAAATTAATATGGCACTATACTAAACATGGTAGATATTCAGTTAAAAGTGGATATGAGTTAGCACAAAGTATGGAGAGGAATGGGGAATTAGGGAGACGGGGAGATGGGGAATCAAGCACTGAAGGTGTCCGAGATAAGGTGTGGAATGATATTGTTTAGATCAAAATTGTCCTCATACACTCGTTCTGATTCCTCGGGTGTCAAACCACGATAAAATGAATCCTGATTGACAAGGACGACGACGTCATGATCGTGAAGCTGTTCAGCTGTTGGATGACCAAATCACGGACCATCATCTCACTGGAAATCTGCCGAAATGCCAATGTGTAAGGGTTGGCGAGGTTGGAAACGATGGAACCGCGGAAGTAGAAGATCGGTAAGCGTGGGTGGAAGACGAAAAGAAGGCGGAGAGGAGAGGAGGCTGCCAAGTCGGATCCCCGAAAGAAGTGATGCTAGTTTCTCCATCACGTAGACGTAGTCAATCGTAGTCGTCCTCGGGGCATGATGGTTTTCCACACTCTCTCTCAGTCTTTCTCGTTTTCGCTCTTTATCTGGTTTTACGTTTTGGAATGGAAAGTCCCTGAAGATCAGGTTCCTTGTTCAAATTTCTTGCTCTAATTTATTTATTTATTTAATTCAACAAGCCTTATATATATTATCATTCTACAAACACATTTACTATCTAATTTTGGTTCATGTTGTGACTACTTACCTGAAGCCCAACCCCAAGTTCTCAGACTCGGGACGAGATGGTCGGAGACACCAACATGTGGAGGTGCCTCGTCGGAGTAAGGGCATAATTAATGGTTCTGTCCAAAAAAAGGTTGCTATGACACGTTGCATTTACTAAATGTTTAGTGGCAGAAAAATCTTCCTCGACATTTATGCGAAAACCCGCGCACCGTATGCTCTCTATGTGCTACATGGGACCCGCCCTTGTCTACTCTCTGCAAATTTAGATCATGTATTAGGTCAGCATACTTGTTTTTTCTTTGGCATTTGCTATCTAGCTCCCTGTTCACTCATGAGTCATGCTACAACATTATCCATAAAAATGTTATTTTATAGAAAATCTTGTTCTTCTGTGTTTAATTTTTGGACCTGGATTGTCTGCCCTTCCATTTCGGTGTTCTTCCGTGCTCTCTTATTTTGTGTGGTCACGGTTAAGCCACGTCAACATTTTATATTATTTTTTATAAAAATAATAAAACAAAAAGAAATAATAATATAAAATGTTGACGTGGCTTAACCGTGACCACACAAACAGGAGAGCACGAGGAGGGCACCGAAATGGGAGGGCAGACAATCCAAGTCCTTAATCTTTATGGTTTACCTTCAAAACTTTAACTTTACTGTTCAACATATGTCGAAAGGTAGTTGAAAGTCTTAAGAAAATCATTCCAATATATTCTTGGAAGTGGTTGACAATGAACTAACACACCCTGATCCGGAGGATCCAGGTGTGCTGGCCGTCACGTGGGCGTGACGTAACCATAAGCACGACACGGAAGCGTAATAACAACAGAAATTCAAACCAAACTCAACATAACCACATACGGACATAACCGGACAAGTTTACAAGTAAACACATAAGTTCAGAGCATAGGTTATCTGCAGTCAAGTAGGACTAAAATAAGAATACATCACCCTCAGGTGAGTCCTACATGTCCCAAATCTGTCAGAAAGCCGGAAAGGACCTCGTGAGCCAACCACCGCTAAACTAGAACCTGGAGACAATTCAACATTGAACTCTACATCTCCGCCCGACAACAATCCAGGTAATTCCTCAGGGAAAACATCAAGAAAATGTCTAACCACCTTTACATTTTCCAAAATACTAAAAGCAACTCATTTAGCACCACACGAGCTAAGTATCCTTGGCAGCCTTTCAATAACAATATCTTTGCTCTCACAGCATAAATGATGGCCTAACTCAATCCACTTTGCTCAATCACAAAGGTAACCTTTGATAATCCATATTGGCAAGATTATAACCTAACCAATCTGTGCTTAAAATCACATCGAAATCCACAATGTCTAACGGAATAAGATCAGCGGACATAATCACGCCCTCAACCATCACTGGACACCCCAGATACACACTATCCACAATACATTTATCTCCTCTAGGGAAGTTGTTTAAAGAATTGTTTAAGAAAAGTTCATTCCCCCGGCATATTGTGACGGCCAGCATGCCCTCCTTCGGGACGGGGTGTGTCAGTTTAAATCTTCCGATAATTACTCAATCATGATTAGCCCTCTACGCAATAATTTTTCATCTGTGCTGAAAGTAGGTTGCAAATATGAATTGAATAGATTTATGTTAAAAATGTTATCATGTGATGTTACCATCAAACTAATAGATTTTTATAAGTTGTCTAATTTTGCACCGTTAGATCGCTATCTGAATTTTTCTCTCTTGTCAGCTAATTCCAAGAATGGCTTGACATGGACAAAAGCTAGTTGTATATATTGCTCCATATCTTTCTCTCCTTTACTTTTCTTCTACCTTCTATTTTGAGATATCTATGTGAGAGCGAAAGATTGATCCTCTTTCTCCCTTACCATATAGCCAGGTAGCATGCTAGTTTCCCAAAATAGAAAAGGAAAGGAGCAAATATTAATTTTTCGTTCTTTTCTACATAGTTAAATATGGGGAGAGTGAAGCTTCAGATCAAGAGGATTGAGAATACGACCAAATAGGCAAGTCACTTTCTCGAAAAGAAGAAACGGGCTGATCAAGAAAGCCTATGAAATAGCTAGTTTAATTATTTAGCACTCAGATTCATCTTTATATGCTAATATATCAAGGAAATATTGTTATTCTTTTTGGTCATTTGTTTTTTGTTTGATGGTATTGAAGCCTTGAAGAGATTCTTGCACGGTATAATAATCTTCCTGGGAATGAACGAGGACGGTAAGCAGATATAGACCATCATTATGGTTGTGATCACATTCGATTCGGTGCATGTAATCTTTCTTGTGTTTGTTTTGATGCATGGCTTTTCTTACTTATGGAATTATAAAGTCAACATAATCAAGAGGTAAGTAAGCAGCACTTACTATGTTACATATATTATTCCAAGAATATGTATATATATGTTTTTTAATTAGGAAAATAATTTTTACACTCTTTTGGTTTTCGTGCACACCCTGTTTATTTCTAACAATTGAGTCGAATACATAAATAGAAAATTAATGGACAGGAACAAACATGAGTAAAAAAAAAAAGAGAAAATGTTTGCAGAAAATCATTTCCTTTCATCAATTATTATCTTTATCTCTTTTAGATTTTTATTGAAATGATGATTAAATGTGCAGTTTCTCCAACGCGTTCTTGGTAAATTGTGGAAGGAAGCTAATCAAACCTATCAAGCAACCAGGTTTTGGTTACTTGTCTATCTTTTACTAAATCTCCTGGGCAAATGATCTGCTAAATCTAATTATTTGTACGTTGAGCAAAAGTTGATGAGATCTATTTGTAAAGGTGATTAATTGTTGCTATGATTTCATGTAGTCGATGGAGGCAGTCCGATGAGCAGTACTGATTCGGATCAACTGGAGGTACCTTATGAAAGAGAATTATTAGTTTTTCATATTCAAGCATGCACATACAAGTTGATTGACACGGCTTCATACATACTTTGTTTAAATCACAATTTATAAATTAATTACAGGAGATTAAACAAGAAATTCTATGCTGCAAGTCACGATTGGAAGAAATGGAAAATCGACTAAGGTGATACTATATAATATACAAAACCCTAAATCCTATAGTGGCATCACTACAAGAAAAAGGCCTTTTTGCGACAAGTTTTTTGCGTCAAATTACACTATCGTCGCAAATAAAAGGAAATTAGCGCGGTATTTGTTAGCGCGAAATATTTGCGACGCCCCTAACGACGGATAGAGTTTGAGCGGGAACAAATTGGGCGCTTAGGGTTTGAGCGCGCGTGCTCCTTTTTTCTTTTTCCCAACGCAGCCTTGGTGCTCTCCCTCAACCGTTTCCGTTTCCTTTTCCTTTTCTCTCAGAGATTCAATCGAAAATTCTGGAGTTGTATCAGAGTTACGAAGCACAATCAGAGTTCAGGTAAGCCACTACAACCATCTCCATCTTCTTTCTTTTTTGATTCCATAAGTCTTGCTAAGTGATTTATAAGGTTTCTGTCAAAGGCGCACATATCTGCTAAATGTCTTCCAAAACCTAGGGTCTTTGGCATCCGGGATTGGGATGTCTTTCTTTTTTCCACCCATTCTGCTCAGAATCGGTTTGATCATCTTCCTCAGTACCTTGTTAAACCCCAACCCACGTCTTTGATTGCTAAGTGATTCCATAAGTCTTGCTTAGTTCTCTCCCTCAGCCTTAGTTTTCTCCCTCAACCGTTTCCGGTTCCAATTATTAGTTTGGACTGGACAACGCCTGCGTTCTGGGCTGCAGGTTTTCTTAATATGTTTACAGCACAAACAGAAAATTTTAGTTAAAAACAAACCCTGTTTTCTTAATATGTTTACAGCACAAATAGTAATTGATTTTTAGGGGGATTGTGCTTCTTGATAAATATTTGGTGTCTTTGCAGATACTTTATCTTTAGGGGGATTGTGCTTCTTGATTTTCTATGTGCCTTTATTTTTAATTCGTGGACAACTTGCCCAATTTTTATTTTTTTTGTAATTTTGTTGGCATTTGCAACAATATATTTGGCTTCTTCTTCTTCCTTAAAAATATGGTGAATGATTAGAGTGTACCTTTTACAGGCGTTGCTTTTCCATAGATTGGGAAGATCTTGGAGAAGGCCCTCGCACAAGGTAAAGTGGATGATGTAGGATTGTTTTTTTGTGTGCTGACTAAAAGTTTACCTTGGAGTAATCTCTTATTTGTGACACTCCTTGAAATTCTGGATATATTTTCTTTGAGTATCATATGCAAAAGTCAAAGTTGCCCAAAGTTCAGAGGATACATTGAATGAAGAATTGGATATGTATTTCGTATTTGCTACCCAAGAATATGACCGTTTGGATTGTTAATTACCCATTCCTAGCTAGTTCATGTGTTAGGTAGGTGAATGATGGGGATTAGTAGTGAGTTTATCTAATTTTTAAGTGATAGTTGATGGCAGACCTAGAGTTTGTCTAATTACCCATTCAACTCATATTATAATAAGCCCACCTTTTAAAAACTCAATTGCTTCCCTTTATTATTTATTTTTTTAATAACTAGTATTATCATTATGAATGTTGAGATAACTCTGTATGTGTATCGCCTATTCCGAGCTCACACATTATCATGCGTTAATGCATATTCTTTTGTGTTAAAGTAGAATACTGTTTTTGGAATAGTTTGGATTGACAACTTATCTCATATTGCTTAGTGTTTGACATTTCTTTTGTAGTTCAAATATTTTGGATTAACTATAGAGATCAGATCAAGGGTGCTTAGTTCGGTATGTTTTATATCCTCCTTTTAAATAAATTTTTGATTAATTTTACTTACTTTCTTTGTATTATTTTCGGATGACATTAGGTATGGACAAGAGTTGGATAGATTTAAATGACAGGTCATCTGATCAATTTAACTATGGGCTTGAACATTTTTTGGAGTTTGCATTTGATAACAACAAGGGTCATACAAGGATTTATTGTCCTTGCAAAAAATGTTACAATCGGTACTTTGTTACAAGGGAAGTAGCAAAAGCTCATATAATAGTTGATGGGTTTATGCCAAATTATAGAAATTGGATTCATCATGGAGAAACAAACCAACCATTTATATTCAGAACAAGGTATTGGGAATAACACTCCATCAGCTTTTGTTGATGATATGTTTGGAATGGTACAAGAGGCATTTGGCCATTCAAATGTGGATCCTAATATGGATAATGATCAGTCAACAGAAAATGAACACAGTGAGGGGCCAAATGATGAAACTAGAAGTACTTCAAATTGCTACAAGATGCAGAATGTCCTTTGTATCCGGGGTGTGAAAAGTTTACTAAATTGTCATTCATTGTTCGACTATTACACATAAAGGTACTTGGTGGATGGACAGACAGTTCAATGACAATCTTGTTAAATTTTCTGAAAGAAGTTTTTCCCAATATAGACGTACCAGACTCTTATAATGATGCTCGAAAGATTACAGAGGACCTGGGCTTCACATACGAGACATGGGATGCATGTCCTAGTCATTGTATGTTGTTTAAAAATGAGGATGAGGAGCTTGAATCATGTGGCATCTGCCACACATCCAGATACAAGAAATTTGAAGGCCAAATTAACAATGGTGTGAGTGGGGATAGAAAAATACCTGCTCAACAAGTAAGATATTTTCCATTGAAGCCAAGATTGCAAAGACTTTTTATGTCATCAAAAACTGCTTCGCTTATGAAATGGCATGCTGAAGAGCGTATTAATGATGGTGTGCTAAGGCACCCTGCTGATACACCTGCATGGAAAGCTTTTGATGCTAAGTATCCAGATTTTGCTAGTGGAATTCGTAATGTCAGACTTGGTCTAGCATCAGATGGTTTCAGCCCATTTAAAACAATGTTCAAACCTCACAGTACATGGCTTGTTATTCTAATGCCATATAATTTGCCACCATGGATGTGCATGAAGCAACCATTCTATATCTTGTCTAATTGGGGCCTCCCTAATATAAAGGTAAATTAGGAAAAATTACATTTTAAGTTTATAATAGTGATGAATTATGGTTGCTTTAAACATGTGTAGGAATATTCTGAGGCAAATAAGGCTAATCGTGCACATGGAGGTGCTCCTCATCGGACTGGTCGTACTTCATTTGCTCAATTGAAACATGAGGTCAGAACACTAGTTTTGCAGTGAGTAATAAGTGATAATAATTAACAATAGGACTAATACTAATACAAGCAGGGAATGTATATATATAAACCATGCTGGAAAACTGGAATGGTATCATTTGTACCAGGTCCAATTTGAATACGGCATGATGGAAATGCTGGAAAGTTTTTATTTTCTCCATTTAACAATTTTCATTACTAACTTGATTAAACATTGTGTGCTCTTAAGATGAGAGAGAAGGGAGAGAAAACGGATCGGTTGAGCATGTTTATAAAAACAAGAACAAAGAAAACAAAGAATGATGACAGAGACCTTTTCGATGAGGAAAGTGGCCACATTATTGTAAGTATCAGTTAGGTTATATATTTTTCACTCAAAGTAAAACTTTGCATATTCACATCGTTTTGATTAGTTGGGTTGTGCATTATTTTTTATCTTTTGGTCATTTGAATTGGTTGGGTCATGTTTTGTAGAATCAATTTAATCAATGCTTGGAAGAAAGGGAAGAGCATGAGCAAGACGAGGATTATCGAGAGGAGGTGTTTACTAGAGTTATGGGACCTGATGCATATGGACGTGTTCGCATGTATGGAACAGGTATAACTCCATCTCAAGTGTTTTGTCAAAGTTCAAGATCTTCCAATGTTAATGAGGACACCATACGAGAAGAGGTAGAAAGACAATATAAGACTAAGATAGATGATCTTAAGGCTAAGCATGAATCTGAAATTGAAGATCTCTGATCCAAGTATAGTGAAGTCAGTTCGAAACTCCATCTCGTGATGACTCATATTGGTTTCCATGTTAACACATCACCAAGTAGAAGTGGACAGGTATATACATTCGAATGTGTTTTTGTTCTCTTTTCAATTTATTAGAATAAATTAGTGTGAAAATTTGAGCAATTTTGATTTCTATTTGTCGTTGGTGTTAAATATAGGCTCCAAATACATCAAGCCATCTACAAGAAACATATGGGAGTAATGAGCAACAACCTCAGTTAGACCCAGAACCATAGAAACAATTGCTTCATAAAAGGTTTGTAAAGAAAACATTATACTAAAGATTAAACTTTTAATTGACACATGTTATTGATGGCTGTGTAATTCTTATTTTTCAGGTTTGCATGGAGATTGTGATGAAGAGTCTTGATCATAATTAAACTCTTGAATATGTTGGAGCATATTTGAAAAAAAAAAATTATGTTCATAACTTTTGAGACGAGATTATTTATATTTGACTCTAGTAGGATTATATGTATTGGGATATGCGGATGGTGTACTTTCAATGTTATTAGGAATTCTAAAAGCATAGTTCTTTGATTCATATATTATTTTACTTTTGAACTTGGGATGATTGTGAATAAGATTATAAATTGCAAACTAATCTTTCATTGAACAAATATCATTTCCAACCATTTGTATTTATAACAAAAAAATTGTAGGGATAAAAGCATTTACAACGTGTCAAACATGTCCCAAATATTTTGTTTAATTCCACCATCAAAGCCATTGCGACGCTAACTATTGTGTCGCAAAGCTGTCGTAAAAGAACTTCGCGACGCTTGAAATGTGTCGCAATAAGTTGTGAAAACTTTTGCGACATGGGTTTGTTGCGACGCAATCACAAGTGTCGCATGAGCGTCGTTAAAACGCATAAACGACGCTGTCATGACTTAACACGACGAGTTTTTAGCGTCGTATTTAGCAAGTTTTTTTGTAGTGCATGTCTCCGATCACCGATAAATTACTATATATAATTAGCATGCATCCTATGTATGCATTCCTCTTATATACGAAGTGTCGACTGCTGGACCTTTCAAGGCGATGGTCTCTCTGAAATCAGGACATTGCATGAGGCTGGCTGAGTACCGGGAGCAGATCCTTGAGGAAATTTTAAAACGTTTGCGCGTGCACAAGGTATGTTACAGAATATAGAACTATAGTTGGTATGCTCTTTAGCTCAACTACATCTGTTCTGTTATACTGCGTATGTCGATTATATTAATTTCAGCTGAATTTTGTAATTGATGACATTATTTTATGGTAAAAACATGTACAGCAAGTTCTAGAGGAGTATGATTCTTCTGCTACAATACTACAGGTGTGTACAAAGATTTCTAAAGTAGCATTTGTTGTGTGTACTTTATTTTTAGGGATGTGATATCCACACACCCTATTTTACTTCTCACACACCTTTTTAATTTTCGACCGTCAGATCGGATGAATTAAAGAAGATCAACGGACATAAATTATCAATGGGTGTGTGAGAAATAAAATAGGGTGTGTGAGAAGTAAAATAGGGTGTGTGGATAGCACACCCCTATTTTTATAGTAATGTCCTAACTTTATACGGATTGGAGAAACTTTTATGCATATTGAGGACATCAACATGTGATGTTAGTTTTATACGTGGTAAAATATTAGTGAACGACAGACTTATCCTTTGTGCAAATACATATATTATAATTTAAATAAAATAATAACATCACGTGGTGGTGTTCTGATCCATTGAAAAATTAGTTACTCGATAATTATAAGAGCATATACTTTTTTTTTTTTGTGAACGAGATAATATATTATCCGGACAAAGATGCCAAAGATACAAAGAAGCCTACCCGAAGGCAAAAGCAAATAACAGAAACTAGAGCAACTAGAGAGAAGTAGTACAAGGAGGTACAAACGACACCGCATCTAATGCTAAGTGTCACGTCTCATACTACCAAGAAGAGATTAAGGGGGACAAGAAAGACCATCATTACACAGAACATGCACAAGGGAGCATGGGGGTCTGGTGACCCAAACATTATCACATACCTCCCTACTTTGCCGCGACGCCAAAAGATCCGCAGCCATATTGGCCGATCTTGGAACCCAAGACCGGCGGCAGTCATTAAAAGCCTCCCCCATTCCTTTGTTCTGCGCTAGAATTGGGAAAGCTTTCCTTTTCAGTTCTGTCGCTGGTCTTGGATGCCAAGAACAGCCAATGGAGCCGCGGATTTCCTTGCGTCGCGGGGTTTTCAAGAGATGGGTTCTCGGGTTTGGGTTGACAGGCCCCCATCTTCTTTGGTTCTTGTTTTGAATAAGGATGGTCTTCCTTGCCCTCCTTAATTTTGTTTTGGTGGTGTTGGGGGTGACGCTCTTTGCTGGAGTGTCTGTGTGTTGGATCCCCTCTCATCGCTTTCTGTGTTGTCTGCCTCTGTGGTGTTAGCCTCCTGGTAGGCTTTTCTGTTCTGGTTGTTTGTCTTTCTTTTCAAAAAAAAATTGGGAAAGCTTCCCAACTGCCCATCATAGCCAAATCTCGAAGACAAGAAATAGATTCTAGAGAGTCAGATTCCAGATGACATAATTCCATCCCATATTTCTTCCTAACTCACACCCATGCAGCACAGGCAATGCTTCCGCCACAGCCGCAGTAGAGGCCGTCACCTTATATCTGACCGCTGCCACAAACCTGCCCACTTCATCCCGAGCCACCACACACACAAAAAGTATACATGCCGACAAGGAAATAACATAAAACTATTCATTATTTAATATTTTGAACTGTGTATATATGCAGCTACCGACAGCAACAAGAAATATAGATGAACTTGTTACAGGAAGTCCACACAATATTCTAGTTGATTGGCATCCACATGGAGATCCACAAGTTCAGATTCTAAACTTCTTGAATTCAAATGGCTTTCTTCCCCTAAGGGACTAAGGTGATAAATCAATTATATATTTTACTGGCCAAAGATGGTATATATGTTTATATATATCATTACAGCTATATAGAGGTTAATAAAAACTTATTAGTTTCATTTTAGTCAAATTAATGATTTTTTTTTTCTTGGTAAGGATTAGAGATCAGCCAGCTGAAAGTAGAAAAAATTGAAAAAATTGAAAAAATAAATAAATTTATTGGAAGGGAACGAACCCTTTCCTGCAGCTTCTTCAGGGGAACGAGGACTATATGTCGCCACAGTTCAATCCACCGCAAACCATCTTGCAAGAATTATCAAAGAGACGGGCCACATGGTTCACTTTGAGTACAACATCTTAATTGGAGTGAAGTTAGGATATTTAAACTCTTCTTTTATCAGATATACGATCGATGTTGGATATTACACAGCCCTTCATGTAGGAACCAATTAATGGGTCACACGTGGAAGATCCACATATCGACAACCACGTGGAGCTAAGGAGAGTCACTCTACACTCGGGGCCAAGGGACCCACCATCATCGTGCGTGGTCAAGGAGACCCACGCATCACGTGGCAATACGAGCCCGCTCATTGGCTCTGATACCAAGTAGAATTATCAAATAGTCGACCATATGATCCACTTCTAACAACACTAATATTGTCTCCAATTTGGTAATTACCACTTGCATAATCCGTCAGGTGTAGGGTATTATCATAAGAGACATCAATATTAGTTGGAGTGAAGTTAGGATATTTAAACAAGATACTTAAACTCTTCTTTTTTCATATATATGGTCAATGTGAGATATTGTAACACTATATACTGTAGTTACTACTCGCATGTTGGATGTCTCTAGAAAGAACTGTTTATGAATCCGTAATGAACTTTTAGTCTTTTACCTTGTTTGCTATCATGCTATAATAGTAATGCATCCTTGACGTTTTAGATAAAAGACTAGTTTTAATTAAGAAACGATGTAAGTAGTGGATTGCGCCTTGATGATTAGGCTTTTTATCTTTAACCCATTATATCTCGTGTTTAAACTCTTTGTTTTCGTTTACTATAGATTAGTGTTAGCGTAGAATGTTGTTGAACTAAAATTAAAAAAAAATTGATGGTGTGCGATGTCTCTATTTCTTTTTTCTTTCATGAAGAAAATTTGTATTGACAAGAAAACAAGTTTTGAAGACTCGAAGTATTAAGAGTCTGGTCCCTGAGATTTGTATAACTCATTACTTTGTTCCTTAACATTTCAAATCAATAAAAGTGGTCCCTAAGATTGTTCACCATCTATCATTTTGGTCATTCCGTTAAAAACTCTATTAAGTGTTCCAGTTCTCTTGGCCGGAAGTTTGGGCAATTTTCAAAGCTTCGTAACTCAATCATTTCTTAACCAAATTCGACCCATAATACATCAAAATGAAGATAGAAAAGTGTAAAATAAGATTATACCTATTTGGAAGCCCAATGGCTGCCGGAGATGTCCGTAAAATAGCCTCAAAGTTGACTGGTCCGAGGGAAAACTGAAAAACTCACCGGAAACTGGGTAAACTTTAAACGTTCATAACTTCTTCAATACACAACGAAAACAAGTGATTCAAAAATGAAAATCATACTTCTCGATGAGACAAAGAGAATGATACCTTTTTTTGCATGGCTAACTTGCCGTGGTTTGGCCGGAAAACGGCTCGAAAGTGGCTAACTCTGATGGTATAAGATCAAATCCATATTACCCTTGGAGTTCCGCAAAGAGCAAAAAACAAATTCAACGTACGGATTTTTCCATTTCCACAGATTTCCTCAGTTTTCCATTTGTTCTTGTGCATTCAATCATAATATTTGTGAGTGTGGACTTGGCAAGCATTGAAAACAAAAAAGAAGTGAACAACCTTCTTTCTTCCTTTGAGATGCTAAAAGTCCAAATTAGCATACATTTTAAAAAGACCGCAACAAGATTTTTAAATCGAAAAGTCAATTGGCGTGAATTGGAATTCATCACTTTGATATCAAAATTAATAGCGAAAACAAATTACCTTTTAGTTGATTATTAAATAACTTTTGACATCAAACAGTGTTTGACATTATCAAATGGAGAGAAAACTTCAAAATATGTCAAAGTGTCATATAAGTCGTCAAATTTAAACTTTATATTTAAAATTTGATATCTTTTTAAAGATATTATGAAACTCATCTGCAACCAGTCGACTAGAGGTATCTTCTTCTTCTTAAAACTTCTACGATGTCTACTGAAATTCATCCTTATAAACAATAGTCGATCTGAAATTCATCCATATAAACATTTATTTGCACAACTAACACATCAGATAAACCCCTAAATTTGCATATTCTACACTATTGATGATTAAAGATTCCTCTTTGTAAAACTATCTAGATTCATCTATAGCATATGAACGAGTTTTGAAGACTTGACTCGTGAAGCGCGCAGCAAAGATAATTTGGCCAAACCATGACCTACTACGACTATCTCTATCATTTAATTACAAGGTTGGAAAGAATCCCAATAATCAACTGCTACTAGAGTTTAAACTCTAAACGTTATGCTTTGTAATTTTGCTATTTTTCACTATCACACATTCGTGTTTAAATCTGACTTTTAAATAAAATATGTGCATAAATCATTTCCCTATAATTAACTTGTACCACAAAGTAAATTTTCAATACATCATTTGACGAACAAGGTTTAAGATTCAGCGCATCAAATCATTTGGACCCAGTCAAGCACGTCCAGCAAAGACAAATTGTCAAAATAAAGATCCATCTTCTTCAATCAATGAAATCCCACTTGACTATATATGCACTGACTAAGAAAATAATCCTTCCCCATACTATAGGCCTGACTAGTGAGGTTTGTTTCACGGTTCGTAAGTCGTCCATCTGTTTTCATGCATTTCAATAAATATTTTCACCCTAATTATGATTAGCAATTAAACCCATATGGAAATTTTACCCTTCCTGTATCATAGATACAAGTAACATATAATTTCCATTTCCTGTATTATATATACACATATATATATATATGTGTGTGTGTGTGTGTTTGATAAAAATAATAGGCAGATCTTTTTTGTATATAAAAACCCTTTGTACAATCACTTATTTTGCATCAAATAATATTTTTGAATTTGCTTATGTGGAACCTAGTCAATGAGTTTTATTCAAGTAAAAAAATTATGTTGGGTTTTACATTAAGAAACTTGTATTTCAAGGGCTAAAGTTATATTTTATTGATTTTTTAGAGAGAATTTTCATATAAAAATTTACAATATTAACAGTTTCGATCATAAATACAATTTTTTGATAACGAAGCACGGATTATTCTGCGAAAGAACTCCTTCTCATCATTTGAGAGACCAAGCTATTTCCTCGACTAATTAGTTGACTAACAATGCTTTCCCTCCCCTATAAACCCCATCTTGTAGTTCCAAATCGAAAAGCAAAACACAAAGCCAAGAGATGGATTTCCACTTCCATCTATTGCCACAACTTTCCACATTTTCTATTCTTCTGATATGCTTTTTTGTGACCATAGAGTCAGTAATTCCAAGCATTTCCACAGACAAAGAGGCCTTGATCTCATTCAAATCAACGGCCAATCTCCCTCCATATTTCTGGGACCAAAGCTCATCCCCCTGCACCAACTGGACTGGAGTTGTATGCAACAAACATGGCAAGAGAGTCATTGCTCTTGACCTCTCAGGCTTGGGACTCACAGGCTCCATAAGCCCTCACATTGGTAACCTCTCCTTCCTCCATTCCCTCCAACTCCATAACAACAAATTAACCGGAACAATTCCCACTCAAATTTTCAACCTGTTTCGCTTGAGGTCACTCAACGTAAGCTCCAACACCCTACGAGGTTCACTTCCACCAAACATAACCCAATTGATGGCACTCGAAATACTTGACTTGTCCTCAAACAACATCACAGGAATCCTCCCGCAAAACCTTGGACAGTTGAAAAATCTCCAAGTCCTGAATTTGGCACGAAACAATTTTTTCGGTCCGATCCCACCATCGATTAGCAACCTTTCATCCACCCTCACAAATTTGAATCTAGGTACAAACAGACTCAGTGGTACTATACCTAGTGAATTAGGTCACCTCCATAAGCTCAAAGAACTCGACCTCGCCGTTAACCAACTCACCGGGACCATTGCCTCATCCATATACAACATTTCCTCTCTAGTTTTGTTCACTGTGGCTTCAAACCATCTGTGGGGTCAGATTCCTAGCAATATTGGTGACACACTTCCAAATCTTTTGTACTTCAGGAATTGTATCAATCAATTCACAGGAAAAATTCCTCCTTCTCTACACAACATCTCTGGACTTCGATCAATTCGCATGTCTAACAACTTTCTTGAAGGAACAGTTCCACCAGGCCTCGGAAATCTTCCCTTCCTGGAAATGTACAACATTGGCTTCAATCGGATAGTTAGCTACGGTGACAATGGTCTTAATTTCATTACTACTTTGACAAACAGCAGTCGCTTAAGTTGGCTTGCCATTGATGAAAATCGGCTGGAAGGCCTAATTCCAGAGTCCATTGGCAACCTCTCCAAGGTTCTGTCAAAATTGTACATGGGAGGGAATCGAATTTACGGTAACATACCTGCCTCAATTAGTCAACTCAGTAGTTTAACTTTGCTAAATGTGAGCTACAATTCAATTTCTGGTGAAATCCCATCAGAAATTGGGCAGCTGAAAGAGTTGCAAATGCTTGGTTTAGCAAGAAATAAATTGTCTGGCACAATTCCAAACTCCTTAGGTAATATCATGAAATTGAACCATATTGATTTATCTGGAAACTATTTTGTTGGCCATATACCCCCTTCATTTTCAAACTTCCAGAAATTGCTTTCCATAGACTTATCTAACAATTCGCTCAACGGAAGCATTTCCGGAGAAATATTTCTAAACCTTCCTAGTTTGAGCACTATTCTCAATCTGTCTAACAATTTCCTGAGTGGAGCTTTGCCTGAAGAATTAGGATCTCTAGCAAGTGTTGCCACTATTGACCTCTCTAGCAACCAGTTTTCGGGGTTGATTCCCAGCTCAATTGGAAAGTGTACAAGCTTGGAAGGATTGTTCATGGCCAGAAACAAACTTTCAGGCCCCCTTCCAAATGCTCTTGGAGAAATGAGAGGTCTTGAGATTTTAGACCTCTCCTCGAACCAACTATCAGGCTTTATTCCTGATAAACTTCAAGACCTACGTGTCCTTCGATACTTGAACCTCTCATTTAATAACTTAGAAGGAGTGATTCCAAATGGTGGAGTTTTTAAAAATATCTCTAGTGTCCATCTTGAAGGCAACCCTAAGCTATGCATGCATTTCCCATGTGTGAAACGTAGGAGAAAGGTACTTGTTCGAGTTCTTATCACTACTGTTGCCTTGGCAACGTTGGCAACATGTATTACAGTTGGTCTTTTGCTACGTTTTAGAAAAAGAAGAGGCTCAGGCGGCAAAGCAACAGAAACTAATTCTGGTTTGCTACTAAAAGGGCAACATCAAATGGTCAGTTACGAAGAGCTACGTGGGGCAACTGGGAATTTCAACCCCGAAAATTTGATTGGAACAGGGAGCTTTGGGGCTGTATACAAAGGTCTTTTGAGAGAAGGAACTGAGGTTGCAGTGAAGGTGCTTGATATGAAAATGACAGCATCTTGGAAGAGTTTTATGGCAGAGTGCGAAGCATTGAGGAGCGTGAGGCACCGGAATCTTGTTAAACTGATCACCTCTTGCTCCAGCTTGGACTTTAAAAACATGGAGTTTCTTGCTTTGGTTTACGAGTTTTTGAGTAATGGGAGCTTGGAAGATTGGATTAGAGGCAAGAGAAAAAATGCAGATGGAGATGGGTTGAACATTTTTGAGAGACTAAATGTGGCCATTGATGTGGCGTGTGGATTGGATTATCTGCATCATGACTGCGAAGTTCCGGTTGTGCACTGCGATTTAAAGCCGAGCAACATTCTTTTGGATGGAGATATGAATGCAAAGATCGGAGATTTCGGGCTGGCGAAGCTGCTGATGGAGAGTACAGTGATTGCGCAACAGTCACTTAGCTCCACACATGTCCTGAAGGGTTCTATAGGATACATACCCCCTGGTTAGTACTAATTACACAGTTCTGAACTATTTCTCACTTGAAAGAATGTTTATTTATTTTTCAATATGCCATATGATACATGTCAATCATTGGTCGATTTTCGTGATAAGTAACACTTCGTACCAGTTAATCACGGGTGTCAAGTAAATTTGCTTGCTTTTTAATATACTAACTTGGAGAATGAATACCACACTGTAGAGTATGGTATCCACCAGAAACCCTCGACAGCGGGTGATGCATACAGTTTCGGTGTAGTGTTGTTACAGCTCTTCACCGGGAAAAGCCCCACCCATGAAAGTTTCACAGGAGATCAAAGCATCATCACATGGGTGCAGTCAGCCTTCCCTCACGACGTGATCAAAGTGCTAGATTCCGAGCTGCTAGACGATCTCATCATCACAGAAGTAGAACATAATTGCCTCATCTCAATCATTGAGGTTGGCCTCTCTTGCACGTGTGCTTCTCGCGACGGACGCATAAGCTTGAGGGACGCCCTTCACAAATTGGAAACTGCCAGAAAGACCCTTCTCAGCGCAAAGAGTGCCAAGCATCAATATTAACAACAATTGCAAGTTTATGTACTGATTATGTTGGAAAATAATAGTATTTGGGTTATTATTCGGGTTTTCTTTTAAGATTAGTTTTGGGTCTAGCCTATTAGTATTAGGGTTATGTTATAAATATAATGTCATGTAACTATAGAAAATAAGTTAGTCACAATGTGGTCGTATCGGTGATTTGTAGTCATCTCTCTCGTTTCAATTAATAAAGTTATATTATGTCTGTTTGTTATGTATATTCTCATTTTCAACTGATTATTGGTGATTTTATAATTTCAAATGCAATAAAATTAAAAGAAGGAAAACAATGTTTAGGAAATGATTTGAGAATTGAAAATTCACGGCTAATATATTATTTGATGTTGTCATATTCGAAAGTGAATTTTTTTGTAACTTTTCGAGTAGTTTTGAGCGATGAACACAAAGTTTTGCCCTATCAGGCTTGAGCCCTTTGCTTTCGGTAACTTAGTTGACCGTTTCTGTATTTACACGCTCAAACTTATTTCATCATAAGCACTACAAGAAAAGTGAGCAAAGTCACTAATATATTGTCACCAATTAATTATGATGTCCGTTGCTTAATTACATTTTTGTCACCAAAACATCATTGGTATGCATTACTCTTAGAGTCACTATTTCTATTGGCAATCGGAGAGTAAGTTTAGATTTGTAATATTTTTGCTACCAAAGTCAATTAGTGTCTAAAATAATAGTATTACTTAGGGGTGGGCAAACGGGTCTAGGAACCACGGGGCAGGCTGGGTCTAGCCGGTTAGGGGCGGGTACAAGTTTTGTAAACTCAAAATGGGGCGAGTCCATGTAATTGGCGGGGCGGGGCGGGTCTAAATTTCTGAAAAACCGGGTACCCAGGCCCAGATCGTTTCCACCGTTCATATATAAAGATTAAATCTCTACCATTCATTTCTACCCCTCTTTCTCTTAGTCGCTGACTCTCGCCTCCTCTCTCAACTTTTCCAGGATCCATCCTCTCTCAAGATGGACTCTTGCCTACTCCACCGTTTCCTCAGCGCCTACTCCACCACTTACTCCTCCTCTCGTTGAAGCCACGGTTGTCTTCATCGGTGCTACCCCAACCCCATCTTCTCTCAGATCAGAGTCGTCGCTCCCCTCTCCCACTTGAGTCGAGTCCTCTTGTGAACACCACCACCGCTGTCGAAACCCCCTCCATGAAAGACGCCTTCTCCAAATATTCTGATTACCTCAACAATCTTGTAATCCCTAATTTAAACTTCACCAATTTGCAGCTCTGCAAGCAACTCGAAGGTTTGTAGAATGACAAGCGGGAAAGGGTCGTAAAAGCAAGTCGCGATATCACCATTAATAGCTAAAAGGTCATCTTTAAGGTTCACATGTAATAAAGCTGCGACCTTTTGCTTGAAATTTTGTTTTTGTTTTTTGGGTTTTGGATTTTGGTTTTTTTTTTAATAATTTTATTTATATCATCACTGAAATGATGTTGCTGTGGAATTTGAACTTGAATAGAATCAGTAAACATAACAAAAAGGAAGTTCTGCAGAAAGCTGAAAAGGATTTAGTAGCTGTGACGGATTAGTACATTTCCCAGCTTGTTAAAGTGATGCAGGCTAAGTTTTTTCTTTTATTACTGTTACTCTGGGATTCTTTGAGAAAACTTGAAGCTTGAATTGTTTTTGTTTTCTGGATGATTTGGAAAATGGGCGAAAAAAAAGGACCCTTGTACCTGGCCCAAACCGGTCCATTTGAAACGGGCCGGGTTAGATCCGATTTCTATTTTAAAATTTGTTACATCCGGCCCGTTTCTTTTACACCCCGGTTCGGTCCGGTCCCTTCAAAATTGAGCCCAGCCCTAGTATTACTCTATTTGAGTCCCAATAAAAAAAATTAATACTCCAATTAAAAAATGAAATTTAATACTTCAAAATAAAATAATATAAACTTTCTATCTCTCTCTCGTGGTTTTTAAATTTTAAGGGTGTAGTCAATTTGGATTTCAAAGGATTTTAATGAACTTTTTTAAGTGATAGATTTCGAAAGATTTTAATAGATTCTACAATTTCATATAGATTTTGATAGATTATTATGGATTTTTATGGATTTGTAAGGATTTCTTATTTGACTTCTACACATAAATTTTTTTCTCAGTGCACAATCTGAAAAAGACATAAGCATATATATATTTGTATGGAAATATAAATCAATCGAATATGTCTTTCTCTCTCGCATTTGAATTGTGATTTCTTTACAAAAAATAATTTTAACTAGCCAAAACAAGTAGTGCTTCTTAAATCAAATGTCTCAAAGTGGAGAGAGAGAAAGAAAATGGAGAGTGAGAAACAAAGATCGAGTTGCAAAGTGGAGAGAGAAAGAAAGCAAGGGGGTTGAAAATAAATTTTAGGGGTGGAGGTAGGATTTTGTTATGTTTACAATCCCTTCTCAAATCCTACAAAATCTCCTATTGAAAGAAATCTTTCAAAATCTATGAATTTATGAATACCCAAAGTATTTTAAAATCCTTTAAAATCCTCATTTGACTACACCCCCTAGAAGGTTTTCGAAATTTTATTATTTTATAATTTATTCTCTTTTTGGAGGTAGGATTTGCTACGACTATTTAAACATTTTTGAGGTTGTATATGAATTATCATTCATATCATTCAACACTAAACTTTGAGGTTTTCTCAAATTTTTATGGATTTCATTTGCTAATGGATTCTAGCTTAAGATTTTCGTTTGATTTCAATGTATTACAATGCATCATTATCTCTCATCATTATTTCATCACATGACAATTAGTCATTAGACAGATAATACACTTTCTGAACACATAGCAAATGTTTATTTGAAAGTTAAGCTATTAGGTCTAAAAGTTAGTTGCATGAGAGAATGTGTGTGTTATCATAATGCTGTAGTTTAGTTTTAGGCCAAAGAGTCATCATAATGCTGTAGTTTAGTAGGCCAAAGAGTCATCATAATGTTGTAGTTTAGTTTTAGGCCAGCCTCCCCCCCAAAAAAAGGAAAACTAATGAAAAATGCTTGAAAACTTTGAGTTTTAATGATAAGGACAAAATAAAGGGTAAAGTGAATAGTACCAGGATTGACTTTTTAGTGTAACAATGTGGTTTTTCGTTAAAGTGAACAGTACCGGGTGCTTTTCTTTAAAGTTCCCAAAAAAAAAACCCACTCCACCCCACACAATAGGTTGACCCAAAGTGAAGGCCATCTTTAAGCCCATCACATAATGAATTGAGCAAAAAATCGGCTTACATAACGCCAGGCTGACGTCAGCCATATGAATTTTTTTTTTTTTTTTGCCGTTGGCGCGTGGGATACATGCAAACGTGGGCCCGTGTTCCAGCATTTAAAAAATAATAAATAAATAAAATGTCATAATCTTATCGTGGGCCACGTTTCTACTTTTAGGCTATTGGATTTCATCATTTTTTAAATCCAACGGTCTAGATTAATTAATTTAATAAAAATTGTTTAAAAAATATAGAAAAAAAGGATTATATATATACACGGAGATGGATTGTTTGCCCTCCCCTTTCCATACCCTCATGTTTTATGCGGTCACGGTTAAGCCACGTCAATATTTTATATTAATTTTTTTATAAAAATAATAAGACAAAAAATAAATGTTGACGTGGCTTAACCGTAACCGCACAAAACATGAGGGTATGAGAAGGGTATGGAAAGGGGAAGGCAGACAATCCATCTCCTATATCTACCTAACCATATTTCACAAAAATGGTACTTTCAGAAAATAACAGGTGACATGACAAGATTGGTTAAAAATTCTATACAAAATTTTTAAAAAATTATTTTTTTATTTTATTAAAAAATTAATAATATTTTAATACGAATTGACTAAACTCTTGGCCAGCTCATTTTTTTAGGGGTAGAGATACACTTGGCCAATTATTGTTCATTGGAGTCAAGTAGGAGTAGCCGAAATTGAAGGAAAGATGAGAGAAAATCGGTTACGGTGGTTTGGACATGTGCAAAGAAGGCCTACTGACGCTCCGATTAGAAGATGCGACTATGGGACAGAGGTTCAGGGCCGAAGGGGTAGAGGAAGACCTAGGAAAACTTTGGAAGAGACTCTAATAAAAGACTTAGAGTACTTGGATCTAACGAAGGACATGACACAGGATCGAGCACAATGGCGTTCTAAGATCCATATAGCCGATCCCACTCAGTGACTTGGATTTTCCAAGTCTCCAACCGAGAAGTTTTCCTCACTCGGAAAATTAAGGGAACACTACCCCAACCTACATGCTCCACTCAGAAAGCTTCAACATACAAGCTTCAACAAAAGAAAATTCAAAGAACTTAGCGAAGAAGGCTTTGGTGTATTTAAACACAATACGTTGAAATGAAGGAAAGCTTATTTATTGATATCCCCGATAAGCTACAAATATGTACATATACATGAGTCAAAATAAACACACAAGAGGGAGCCTTCACAAAGGTTGCTTAGGAGAAGTCTCAACAGTCGGTAGAGCCCCAGAAAGAGAAGGCACCGGAGGGGGATCATTTGGAGCCTCAGTACTGGACAGAACCCTAGAAGGAGGAGGCATCAGAGGTTGATCATTTGGAGCTTCATTACGCGGTACAGCCCCAGAAGACGAAGGCAATAAATGCCTTTGGAACAAACCCACAAATCTCTGATGATCAAGTAAAAACTTGACCATCAGTTTTCCTTCATCTGGTCAAGCTTCCTCTTCATGTTTGTAGCATAGTCATGTGCGAGCCGGTGCAACTGTTTATTCTCATGCTTGAGCCCTCTAATCTCCTGTTTGAGACTCATCACTTCAGCCGCCAATGATTCAACTTGGCGGGTTCGAGCAAATAGGCGTTGGGCCATATTAGACACAGAACCTGCACACTGAACACTGAGAGCCAGCGAATCCTTAACAGCTAACTCATCAGACCGTTTGGAAAGTAGTCTGTTATCTTTGGGAGTGAGAAGGTTCCTGGCCACCACCCGCAGCGGTCATATCATTCTTCATCACGGAATCCCCAACGGTAAGAGGACCAGTAGGGGAGACGAAGGATGGGCGCCATATGTTGTCTGGAGAAGGCGGGGCTGCCTCTTCAACAAGGTTCAAGTCAAAACGACGGTCGGAGGGGCCAGACATTTTCAAAGGCGTTGAAGAGAGAAGAGGTCGGACAAATCAAGATCTTAGAAGTGCAAGAATGAAGCTTCTACTGGTGGAGATTCAAGTGTGCTTTGGAACTTAATGCCAGCCCTTATAAAAATCTGCACTCGACGGAGCCTCAGAAATCCAAGAGGCGCCTGCTCAGAAATCGAAGAGGCGTTTGCTTGCTCAAAAGCTGGGCTGCTTAGAGATCACGAGGGTTGATCTCAGAAATCGAAGAGGCGTTTGCTTTCTCAAAAGTTGGGCTGCTCAAAGACCACGAAGGCTGATCTCAGAAATCGAAGAGGCGCTCGCTTTCTCAAAAGCTGGGCTCCCCAGAGACCACGAGGGCCGATCTCAGAAATCGAAGAGGCACCTACTTTTCTAGCCTTGTCAGCACCTGTCACACGCACACTCAGCTTTGCAGAAATTATGGGCATTCTGTCGAAGACTTCTGGTGAAGTAGAAAGCACATGAATCTTACTGTTCAATCACCCACTTCCCACACGCAACAATAGCTCATGGGTACCACAAAAAACTTTGCCAAAGTTCTCGCCAAAGTTGAGCACGTGAAGCTTGCAGCTCCCATTGCATCGCTCTGACCAAGAAGGGTAAAAGAATAGCAAAGAAACAGCATTAACAAAGTTTAGACCCATAAATTTTGAAGGTCTAACTACCATATTATTACCCACAAGGGTAAAGGAACAGTACCACTGCTGGATAATTGGAAAGTCCCTGTGTGTCAACCTCTGTGCTTCGTGGCAAGGTAGACTAGCAAACATGGCCAACCTTTACTCACATTCGAGAAAACACTCCCAATAAGATTGCTTGCTCCAAAATCGAAGAGGCACCGTCCTTCGAATCTCCGAGAGCCAGACTCCCAACATGACTACTTTCTTAAAAATCGAAGAGAGGGTAAAGGAACAGTACCATTGCTGGATAATTGGAAAGTCCCTGTGTGTCAACCTCTGTGCTTCGTGGCAAGGTAGACTAGCAAACATGCCCAACCTTTACTCACACTCGAGAAAAACACTCCCAACAAGATTGCTTGCTCCAAAATCGAAGAGGCACCGCCCTCCGAATCTCGAGAGCCAAACTCCCAATATGATTACTTTCTCAAAAATCGAAGAGACACTGCTCCCCGAATCTTCGAGAGCCAGACCCCCAGCATGATTGCTTTCTCAAAAATCGATGAGGCATCGTTC